AATAGAAACTAAGAAGATCCTCCCTTGTTCCTATATACAAAAGAACATTATCACAGAATTCCAATAGCATTAAACACTCAGGATTCAGTTCTCACTTCTACATATGGCACACATTTATTAGCATTTGTGAAACTTTGGCTTTGCACATTCAGGACAGATGAGACTTCCATGATTCTGACAAAAATCTTTTGCATGGGAAATGTTTAAAGAGAAATGAAGCTTGCTAAGCTTTTACTGTCTGTATCTGTACACACAAAATGTTCCCTACTCTAGTTCAGCATTTCTACTGTCACTACTGAAAGTGGTATTATAGCTTAGGGTTATGTTCAGATTTCCATTATAACCCCCAGTTTTCACATGCTCTTAACTTTCTGAAAAATTCTTCTTTCAGCTGAAATTTTCCATGCTTGGTCTCAGCTCAAAGATGAATTTCTTTAGACAGTTGAGCAAAATCCGTTAACCTATTTTTCAGTTATACAAGGAGAGAAAAAATACACTGTATATTTCCACAATTTCTAATATTTTAGTATAAGTATAGATATATAAATATACAGAACTAAAAAACATGTGAATTTTTACATGCAGACATTTTTCCAAGTGACTAGTCCTCACCCAAGAGTAATATCCATGCTAACATATAAAACAAGTTAAGCAGAATAAAGAAACAACTGTATTGTTTTAAACTAAGTGGTAAAACAAGGCCAATAAAAATAATACACACGCAGAATCACAGAATGCTGTAGTTACAAAATTTTAATATTTGCAGGTGACGTAGATTCTGCACTGCTGTTTTAATGCAGATTTCCATCAATTTATGCACCTTGAAACTACCACTCTCAGCATTTCAAATTATGCGTCATTAATGTTTTCAGCTTTTCTCTTCTCTTATATAAACCCTAAAGTTACAAATTTAAACACTTCAGAGTAAGGTAACATCTATTACTTTTGCTACAGAAAGCTTAAGTGATGTGCATCGATCAGCAAGAGTCTGGCTACTCATTCCTTGATCAGGCAGAAAGTCCACTGACTGAAAAAGGAGTAAAGCAAGCTTCATGAAGCCTCTGACTATATGACTAACAATATAGCTTACTATGTAATAAATGTTATGGGTCAGTCAAGCCCCAAATCCTTGATTTCTGCCATCAGAGCACAGAAATAAAAGGATGGAGTTAGTACATATTTACTAGAACCGTGCACATCTCAAAAATTTATAAATTATCATCTTGATTCATAGAAGTGCTTAGAGTGTGCTTATGGCTGCCTTTCTTAAGGACAACATTTTAAGTAATTTGGACTTTTAGGATCTGCTTCGTTCCCACCACTTTAAACGAAAGTTAAGCACATGCCATTTGATTAGGCATGAAGACTGAAGGTTTTCCTCATAACCCATACTGATACATATTTTTAAACCTGTGTTATTTGTCACTGATGTATTTCAAATCTGATTAAATGAAGTTGTTATAATTAAAACTGGGATAAGCACAATAAATTGGCCCTAATTTCTTTTATTATTCCATCTATTGTTAATCTAATGACACTGAGTAGGAGGTTTTTGTCTGTTTATTTGCTTTTTATAAGAGGTCTTTCACATAGAAGAATACAACATGTCGTCTTCTACTGTATTTCTATGTAGCTGTTTAGTGTAGTGACTTACTAATTTGAAGTGCATTTTGAAGTTCAATCAAATACTGAAAAGAACACTGATTGAGAAGCCTGCATAGATTTCAGTATTCTTTATGAGTCATAACACTGATTTTGGAAGCTTAGCTATAGAAGCTGGTGGTGTGCAACATCCTTTTCATACTCCTAATTATGTGAACTAGCATTTAGAACAATCCCAAGTTCAAGTATTCAAAAATGCTCTTTTCAGAGCATCCACCAGGTTTACTGCAAGATAGGCACTTGAAGAAGGCTTTGGTTTTTATACTGGGTACTTCTGAAACATCAGCCTATGCATTTCAAAGTGACATGCAAAGACTTAACCACAGATTTTCCACTAAATTTATTGATGATTGCACAGAAGTTTCCCAGCAAAAAAATACAAAGAAATGTGTATTGAACAATCTATTTTTGCATTCTAAAAGATTTCTGTCTTAGGACTCAGTTCTAACAGATTTCTAGGCCAAGCTCTCATTAAAAGTAACAGGATTTTGCTTGAATGAAGTCCAAGTGTGGACTTCAGTCTCAGATTTCTATGAATATTACTGTATCTTCAAGACACATTGTGTGTGTATTTACCCTGGATTGAGAGAAACTGTAAGTAACATGGAGGATAGTAGTATTTCTTTGATATATATTAATTTCATATTTATTATTTCCCTATTTTAACATCCTCCACAACAACTCCTGCACCCTTTGCAAACCACATAAAGAAAAATTGCCGAGTATATAGGTAACTTAATATAACTTCTAATGTTAGATACAGAGACCTTCATTTTGTTACAACTCAAGAAGACAGTACAGTAGCACAGAACTAAGTATCTCTTCCTAAAGAAATTTTTAAAAATATTTTTCAGGTACTGTGGCATTAGCAGGCATTACTATTCAGAAAGATTTTTAAGTCTGAATACTTTCCTTTAAGGACATCCTCTATCACAAATCTTAAAAAAAAAAAAAAAAAAAAAAAAAAGACCTCTGAAAGTGTATTTGACTTCTGTGCAAGTGAATATTAGCTAAAATGCATCCTGATTTCAGGAATAACAGACAGAATAATAGGAAAGCTGCTAGTGATTACAACCATTGCTGGCTATACTCCTCCAGCCAAAAGTGCCAAGGGGCCTAAAAAGGTTTTATTCTGTAATACTCACCACAGAAAAAAACAACAACACAAGCTCAATTTCAACAATTATCTACTTAAGAAAGAGTTATATTTTCAGTTACATAAACATTACAACTTATGCAGGGAGCAATCCAAATCATAAGAGTATCTGTTGACTTTAAAAAGGATTTAGCAAAAACTTGAGTGGAATTCGAATCAGGTACATAAATAGGAACAATGACTCATATTATTATCAAACTGAAACCAGTATATTTAAGGTTATCTCTGAAAATACTGCCTATAGTTTGTTGTTTGTTGTTTTGGTTTTCCCCCCTCTCATACTCAATTTCACTGTGCAGAGCTTAAACATTCTGTCACGTACATATTTTTGGGGTCTTAACTGCCTCAAGATACTGTAGGGGGTTAAGTCTGAGTTTCCTAATAGAGTCTGGGAAACTGATTTAAGCTAAATTAACAACATTTCTGAACAGAAAGGGAATACGTGGGTTGAGTCTGTTACATTTCGCAACTAAACCTGAGGAGAAAACTTCAGCCGAGTAACCACAGACTATGCATAGCTCTTCTATAAATTTGCTGTGTTTTTTTTTTTTTTAATTATTATTATTATTATTTAACTTATGCTGACAGTATGTATATGGTGCTGTGCAACAACCTGAAGATGGTTCCAGGAGCATACTTTTATTTAAAGTCCTTAGAAAGGTGAAGGTTTTGTGAAAATATTTTGTCTGCAATGTTTTCACTGTCCTGTTGCAAGTAAGAGTTGGTTTAGAGAAGTTACTTTAGCAGAACTGCCTCAGAAGTGCTTGTTTTATTCTTAGCATCTTGTTAGTGTGACACCTTACAGACACCCAAAGTCAAGACACAGTTCTGGGAACATCACATTCATCTCAGATCAGGCTAATCCAACAGCATGAGGATGATTTTATCCTAAACTTGACTACTGTCAAAATCTTTCTGCAAAGACAAGCTTGAATGTGTCTCACTTGGTTCTCTAAGATTCATATCCCTAATAAAATCAGACAAACCATCAACACTTGGAGGGTTCAGCACCAGCTGGAACATGAACACGACTCCTAACACCTGCAAAGTCGGTGCAGCGAAAGGGAAGCACTACGGAAGCTGCCTTGCAAACACTAAAACTTAGCTACTGACCACTCCGGTACAACTAGCATTAAGCAAAAGGTTCTTTGGCTGTAACATCAGCTTGATCCTTCGCTCCCCCTCCCCCCCCAGCGGGCCAGAGAAAGGGACATGGTACCTCACTGCCATCTACAGGCCACACGACACCCTGGTTCTGTGGCAAAGGACAGGAGCCGGTAACATAAATTAGACAACGCCGCATTTAAATCTTTATTAGCAAGGAATTACTAGAACTAAGAAAAACTAATGCTGGATTTGGTTGAGATGAGTTTCTCAGCCTCCTAATCCCTCTTCATATGGCGTATTTCACAGTTTAAAATGAGTTATGACAGATCACTTATGCATTACTAAGATGAGAAAATATTTACAGTGGGCTGACTTTTTTCCTGCTTAATTCAGATGTATTCAGAGAACGCATTCCTTTCAAAAGTATGCTTTGGCCATTTTTTAAGATATGCAACAAACTGTCTATGCAATACCAGCTTTAATCTATTACAACAAAATCATTTTGAACTCAGAACAGGAAGACTTCCGTATGGCTTAGTTGCATCCTACCAACAAACCACGTGCTTCACACATGAAGTAGCTGGGAAATTCAGCTGTGTTAGAGAAAAAAAAAAATAACCCCTTTCATAACACTACCTTAACAAGGTTCCAAATCATCTTGAACTATAAAAGAAACTCAAGCCAACTCACACTGAAATTTGAAACTTTATGTACACACGCGTTAAATCTTGGAAGGGTCAAATTTTCTAACTGGAATTTGGCATGTAAGGAAACAGTTTTTCAACAACTTTCACGTTTGTACAGTCAAATATTGGGGAGAAAAAAAAAAGTCTGTTTTTTCCAGTTTTGTTTCTGCACATGTATGCGTACATGCACAGATGTATAACAGTACTGTAACAATCAACATTCTTCAAAACCCAAAGTGTCAGAGGCATTTCACAAATACATGGTTAAGACCCAGATAATTGATAAAGGGGTCAATTATTTGTTGTGGTTTTTTTGTGGCTTTTTGTGTTTTGGGGTTGATTTGTTTGGGTTTTTTTAGTTGTTTTTGTTTTGTTTTGTTGGGTTTTTTTTGTTCCCCCCGTAATGTAACTAAATTCAATCAAACTGAAATAAAATAAAAAAACCCCACAACATAGTGGCACTTTTAATACTGGTTGATCGGGCACTTGTATGCAGTACTTATAGACCAGTAAAAGTGCTCGTTTACCTGTCTGGTGTGTAAGGGGCCCTTTGTCTTGAAGCCTCCTTGGGAACTGCACTCTGAGGCACTGAAGTGATCTGAACT